TCTTTTTTTCGCAAACTTCGTGCCCTACAATGTTAAAAACAAGGTAGGGTATTTTCTCCTCCCAGTCTCTGTGGTCTGAGTTTTTCACACTAACCTTTTAGCACAGTGTAACATGGTTTTTCATCACAGTATAGCTTTAAATTAGAAAAGCTGAACAACCATATTTGTAACTATTCTCAAAACAGTGTCATGTATTTTTTTTTTTTTTAAAAAACAGTCAAAGTTTAGATTAGGAAAGTAGTGGGGATTACATTTCCTGTGTATGGAATCCAACATTCAATAGAAGGCAGGCTCAACGTGCTAAACCTGTTATTTATGCTTGTATCTGGGTTCATATGCGGTAATACAGCATATTTAATAGTGAAGTGAGTTTTCACACAACCTTTGGTACAAATTTTAAATCCTGGGTTTAAGATGAGGATCCAGGGTTTAAGGGAAGGCCCTTCGTGGACCGAGGGTTTTTAAAATTGTTACTCAACAGGCTGTGCAATCGCACATTAATGCCACAATGGGGTTGTTTTAGAGGTAACTCGGTATAGGAACAGGTATGGCTTTCTATGAATCTTACTGAAGGATTCCTCCTCTTAAAATTCAATTAATATTTAAATAGATTGTCTATTCCTTTGTGAGATTTTTGCTGACTTACTTTTTCTTGTAAGTTTGGAATTCCAGATATCAAAGTGTATATATTGCTATAAATGTAATAGCACACAAAGGAGGGTTATCATTGGCTTTAACTTTTTCTTTCATGAATCCAAAAGCTATTAGAACCACTGATTGATTTGTAGCATACGGTCATTTGGCTCAACAATTTATGGTTAATAAAGGAGCAGGTCTTGTACCCTTAAGACAAAGTAGTAGATATTCAGTTTATCCTAAAAGGCTAAATAGCTTAGCAAATAAAAAGATAGGGCCACAGCTTGGTTTAATCATGCAAAAAGAAGAAGGTGTTTGAGTACTTTTAGCTGTCACTAATAGGATTCATTCCTAACAGGCTGACTGCTCTAAAAATAGTGACTTTTTCCCCCTTTTTGCTCCAAATAGAAATGTTATGTGAGGACATTTGCTGCACATGAATCCCAACACAGTGACACAAACATATAAGCACGCTTATACACCACTTCAGTGCTTCACTGCACAATACAGCACATGTAAATACAATGAACTACATATTAAACATTTCATGTAAAAGCAAATCCATCATCATTATTGTTTTATACCCTTAGGACTTAGGCAAATGAATTTTTTGCTTATCTTAACATTTACACCTGGAGAGAGCTCGTAGGGTTAATGTGCAAGGTCAGGTCAGGTGACTTAAACAGGGATTTAGGGCGATTTAGGGTGCCTTCCAGTACTTTCACAGGTTGAAGGCAGAGGTTGTTGGGCAGCTTTTATATTAGCATGTGGAAGGTTTTTCCATTTCTGTTTTTAAGTTAAGATAGTATAGACATGCAAACTGGTTGGTTGGTTTGCCTTAGAAACACCATTCTAAATCTAGTAGTATTTAAGTTGCCAGCATTTGTGGTTGCTGTATGGATTGTTGGCTTTTCCACTCTATAAGCCAGAAGAATCAGTGAATCCAAAATGAATCCAGTTTCTTGACAGTGTGACCATGTGTGACCACTGATGTACCTTTTAAGTGAGAGTGTTTATCCCATCTTATAGGCAACCTTTGATTTAAACGTCTAAGCCTCACCCTTTAACTGGAGCCATGTATCGGTGCTTCACCTTCCTCTACGTATGCTTCATTAAGACTGTGACTTAATATAGCAGGAGTCCTGGTGCACAGCAGGTTGCACACTAATTAGGCCTGACATTTTAACTGCAGCCAGGAGGGGGGGAGTGCTAAGCCTGAGCATCACTGCACACGTGCAAGCTTGAAGGATGATGTGCTTCGGGGAGTCCTGCTGTGACTATGATCCACACTGCGTCCGCATGCAGTGGAGGCTGCAAACCTAATTTGAGTCATTTTAAAGTCCATTTAATGTGGACTAAAAGTTCTTAGAAACCTCCATCAGGCTGGCAGAGCATGCCTGACAGAAGTTGATTAAGGAGAGGACTCTCCCTAGGAAAGCCCACGATTAAAATATTAGCCTCAGTTAGCTTCTGAGTCACTCCTTCCCCTCATGACTCAGTAGGGGATGTGGAGGGGAGGTCTTTCTCTTATTTTCTTCTGTGAGTCAGGATATAATGAAATGGTCACCTCCACCCCACTGTGAGCTGTCAAGCTTGTTAAGACTAAGAGCAGATGGTGTAAAGGGTCACCCCGTGGATGTGCGTGTAGTCTTCACAGGTGCTCATGTGACTAAGCACTTCTTGATTCTCCCCACATCATAAGGACAGGGAGGGACTGGTATGCCGTCTGTGAGCCCCTGATAAGGAGAGACTGCCGTGCATCCTGTGGCGGTTTCCTTGTCCTTGAAAAGATTGATCTGACCCAGAAGGATATTTAGTCTAGAAAGGTGCATTTTTTTTAAATTAGCGTCACACGCTGTGGAGCACATAGGTGGAACATATGCTGAAATGTTTTGAGCCTTGTGACTGTTTTACATGCACCGCCACAGCAATCTGTCAAGGAGACTGTGCCAGCCTGCCAGTCTGGGATGAAGTAGGCTAATTAGGGGGGCAGTTCCTGTAGTATTTCTATGACATGGCCCCAGAAAATAAATGGGAAATTTAAATGCTGCCATTTACAATGACACGACCCATGAGACAATTCTTTCTGCTGGCCATCATGTCTTAATTGCTTTGTAGGGAGGTACCAATGAATACATATCATGAGACAGCAATTAGAAGAGTAGGTGTGAAACAGGTGATGTTCAGCCGGTAAATCATTTGAAAACCTGCAAAACCTGGTGGATATCCTTACATATTTTAAACAATATGTCAGAGAGATACAGTCATGGTAAAGGTAAACACCCTCTTTAAATTATAAGGTTTTACATATAAGGAACATTCAGCTGTTTGCTAATACGATGCTAAAGAGGAGACACATCAGCAATGATTTTACAGAAGCAATTGTTGGTGACCATCAAACTGGGAAGGATTATAAGGATATGTCCAAAAAAAAAAAAATTCAAGTCCAAACAGTGAGAAAGATTATTAACAGATTGAAAACAGAAAGAGAGCTGCCAGTCTTCCCAGGAGTGAACTTCCTGGCATTCATCCCAAGGTCAGACAACGCAGTACTCAGAGATAATTTAAAAAAAATGAGTGGATGAAACCAAAGTGGAGATGTTTAGTCATAAGGTACAAAAACCCAACAAATAAATGCTTCAGATTCTCATAATAAGAATCTGAAGCTAATAATAGGCTGACTTCAAACTAAATCACAGTGAGATTAAGTTACAAGTCCAATCAAATCATCTTTTTGGAGGTCTATCTTTAGTTCTGTTACAGTAACAAAATTACTTTCAAAGCACTACAAGAAAGGGTTGAATATAATAATATTTTTTTCATTGTTTTTTACACAGCCATATATACTAAGGTATATTAAGAAATTGTATCAGACTATGAACTCATCTGTAAAACTAAAGTATTAGCGTACTAGAGTCAAATGTAAGGCCATCTGTCAGACAGCAAACTGAGTCATGCAACAGGACAATGATTCCAAAGACACAAATCTACAACAGGACGGCTGAAAAAGACAAGAATCCAGGTGTTGCAGTGACCCAATCAAAATCCAGCCCACAATGTGCTTGTGGTGTGGCCGTAAGACAGCTCTGCATAAACTGACGTTTAAAGACCTCTGAAGTGATGTTGTAAAGAGGGGTGGGCCAAAACTCCTCGACAACAATGTGAGAGATAAAGTCAAACAGAAAACAATCAATACAAGTTAATACCTCTCAAGGCGGTTCTATAAGTGACTGAATCAAAAGGTAGACTTAGCATTTCACTCACTGCTTCTGCTTTTTCATGGAATTTTGTTTAAAAAATAAAAATGGACTCGGTGTAATATGTCGTGTTTTGTATATTTTTTATTGCATTGTTAATCTGTGATATTTAAAACCTTAGAATTGATGATGATGATGTACTTTCTTTTTGCCCAGACTGTATATTTAAATTGTGAGCACAGCAGACTACAATAAAGACTGAAACATGAAAAGATAAACAGGCAGGTTTTGTGCTCCTGAGAAAGACAAAAAGAGGCGCTCATGCTTGCTGATGATCAGTTAATCGAGTGATCATGAACGTGTAGTTGCTACTTACCCTCCTAACCCCCATGGAAGCAGTATGGGTGGACTTTGTTTTTCACACGCTGCTTCAGTATTTTTGTTACATACGTAATGACAGGATGTGTTGTTTCTCATCTGCCATGGACCCGATTATATAAAAGACCAAAAATTTGGTTTTGACAGTGATGGGTCTGAGATGGTTTTTCTTGTCTCCACTGTCACTGTGACAAATAATAAGAAAACCTGAGTAACAAGACTAGGCAATGTCGTTGAAAGCTATTCTGGGCATTAAGGAAGCAATAAGAGGAAAAGGAAGACGAAAAACAAAATAGAAAAATGCTTCAGAGCTCTGTCATGAGCCAATTCAGCTCATATATCTATCTATCGCTCTCTCTCTTCCTCTATACACACACACACACACACACACACACACACACACACACGCACATATATATGTATATATATATATAAATATATATAAAAACACACACACGCACATATATATTTATATATATATATAAATATATATATAACACACACACACGCACATATATATTTATATATATATATATACATATATATATACACACACACACACGCACATATATATTATATATATATATATACATATATATATACACACACACACACACACACACACACACACACACACACACACACACATATATATATATATATATGTGTGTGTGTGTGTGTGTGTGTGTGTGTGCAGTCCTTATCTCGAGTGAAAACAAGGGTTTGCTATGAAAGTAAAACAGGGTATCGTGCTTAGTCATTGAATTTTACTGAGCCAGGAGTTGCTTTCTAAGTGTTTAACTTAGGGTGTTTAACACCCTTTATGCAATGGTGAAGTCCAAGTCATGTGTCCAAAGCTTCAGCAGATTTCAGTCCAATCGCAGGGTGATTAGCAAGGCTTTTCAGTCTATCCTTAGCATCCCATGTATCTGATTAGCAGGTAGGCCCGCTTCCTCAGGGAGGACTTTTCATTGGTTTCTCTTTTCTTTCCTTGCAATAGCCATGGTGCTTCTCTGGGAGTTTACATCTCACATTCTATAGTTTTGGAAGTTGTTTTAATTGCCTGGACTATAACTGTGGATCATGTGAGTATACTGCCTCTGATTATGTGTATGCTTTTGACTGTAGTTACTACACATTTTGATTGAGCTGCTGCACTTAAACTTGCTGGTAAATTAATATAATTTCCACAGCAGAAATGCAATGACCACAACGATGAAATGCAGTTTCAGTTGTGTGAGATCACATTAAGTATTTAAGATATGCTGGGTAATTTTTTTTTTCATGTTGTAACATTACATATCAACCTCAGTGGACCCATCTTCATACACGAACTCTTCTATATATTGCAGTTTGGTGAAAAAGAAACAAATTTTGTAGGGTAGATAACTGGTATTTAATTTATTAAATTGAATATTACACTGAGGCATTTTTGAAAATAAAATATTATGTGCATTATGTTTGGAAATTGTTTATTTCCATAAACCATCCAGTTTATACAAGCACATATAAACTATCAGTTCACACTGATAGAAGAGACACCTGTAATGTGTGACACGAAACAGTGGCAGCGTTCAGTGTCACACATAACAGGACACTGAGGTACTTAATTAGTATAGAACACAGACGATATAATTAAGATTAAATACATTTATAAAAGAATCAAAATAAACATTTACACATAAACTAAGTGAAATGGACATTCATAATCCTGATTGTGGGCAACAAAAAAACCCCTTTTCGACTCATGTTTTGGCTTCAATAATCAAAAACCTTTTGGGGGATATAAATGGATATTTAAACGTTAAACGACTTAAAAGTTAAACGACTAAAAATGGCAACATGACATGTGAGAATACAAAATAACTGGCTCTTCTTCTCTTTGGAAATGTTCAGCTTCAGGAAACACTTGCTGTTTGACTAAAAAAAATTACTAATACAAGAACAAGGATAACAGCCAAGCCTGTTCTTTATAGGTGTCAGTCAAGCTTAGCCTATTTTACCATTAAAAAAAAAAAATCTGTGGCATTTTTATGTGCATTTCATAGTGGGCATGCATCCCTTTTCCATCCGGCAACAATGAATTGACTTTACGTCCAAGTATTGTCACAGTAAGGCTGCATTGTGCCTATTGAAGATATTTCTGCTTTTTTTAGGTAATCCTTGAATTTTAATTGCAGGAGAAGCTGTTCGAGAGTCTATTTTTGTCAGTGACAGGCGCAGTCGCTGAGGTAATGTCCACTTCGACTGTGAGCAGAGACTTAAGCTTGTTATTTAAAGTCACTTAAGGATTTATTTGTGGCTGTAGCCTCATTATCCCTGCCTTTATGCACTCTTTGATCTTCAAAGCAGTCTGTATACATGGCACATGCATGCTGCGTGTGTCACAATATATAATGTCACATTTTTTGTTTGGGCGTAATTGATTTGGGTGTAAATCTCTTAATGAATCCGATTTTAACTGGAATATGTTTGTCTGTGTTTTTCAGTCATAAATGTGGACATGTAGAAATACTGAAATGAAAGCCTTACTGGAACATTGGCTAAACATATTAAAGGATAAAATGACACAACAGCTATTTTTAATTTTTTTTTTCACAAATAAGACAAGATAAATGTAGAGCAGTATCAAACTTATTACACTAACACAGCGGTCCCCAACCTTTTTTGCGCCACGGACCGGTTTATGCCCGACAATATTTTCACGGACCGGCCTTTAAGGTGTCGCGGATAAACACAACAAAATAAAACTAGTACCAGTACCGAAAAAAAGAAGATTTATTCATAACACACGTGAAAAGACCCAGGAATACCGAGTTAACGATAAAAACGATAACAAAATAACGCTGAAAAACGATAAAAACCCTGAAAAACATACATTTCACACCTGAGCCTCAACTCTCGACTCACGGCCCGGGGGTTGGGGACCGCTGTACTAACAGATTTTCATATTTCATCATCAGACAGTAGTCAGTGGATTTAAATTAGATTCAACAAATGTGGCCCTTTTTTCCCTCCACACCAGCTGTTTACCTGCTCAAATGTGATTGATCAAATGGAAATCAGAAAAGCTAGTTTGTAAGATGTTTCTAATGTAATCTCCTTTCAACGCATACATTTTCATCTATTTTTTCCACATTGTTTCTAGTGAGCGGAGGTTATGCAGATGTGCGGTGCAACACCTCAACCTAGGCAGCTGCAGAAAAACATGGCAACCTTTCAGGACTGTTTGCCGAAGCTGACCTGGCCCCTTCTTCTGCTCACCTGAGCTCATCCTCCATTCTGAGCACAAACCCAATCATCAACGTCACCACAGTCCAAAATGTCTTCCCACAGACGCCACTTTCACTGTTTTGACGCTGTAGGAGGCGAAGGCACCCACAGGTCTTCTATTCCTTTTAAGCGCCACAGCACCCGCTTACCCAGAATCCCCCAGCATGGCATGGTGGCCCATCATGAACCCACAGCCGAATGCTATGTTTGCTCAGAGTGTAGACACGCCCATGCCTTGGAAGCAGTAGAGACTCAGTTGTCACCTTTCTATCACACTCACCCGTCATGTCACCACCACCATCCACACCACTATGTTCTCAGTGGGCCGAGCAGGCCTGAAGAAACACCTCTGGGCCACGAACGTCATCATCACCGATACAGTAAGAAGCTGGTGTTGGTGAAGAACAGCGACCCCTCATTCAGAAAGACCATCATCTTGCACCGCAGGGGTCTACGCAGTTTGGGGCTTTTCTTAGAGGAGGTTTCCGAGCTCATGCAGTACCACATCAGGAAGCTGTACACTGTGGGCGGGCACAAGGTGAGGTCATAAACAGCTGGAGCTAAAAATTCACATATTAAGTTTTGGTTTCCTGATTTTTTCTCACAAACCTTCTGAATAACAGGAGTTAGATAAGATTTTAGACAGGAATGGTTTCCTACTACTTTCAGGAAGAAGTTTTGGTTAGGACCAAGGACCATATGTTAATTAGGCACAAATTTTTACACTGCATGTCATTTCCTGGTGAAACCCTCTCGTTTATCCTGACTTGGAACCGGGACCATTCGATTGTGACCCCTGTATTCGTGTCTTAAACCAAGGCTCTTTTGCATACAAGTCAAATGTGTTAACAAATGCACCAAGGAAACACTATTTACAATGATGATAAAAAAAAACAGTTTAAAAAAACAAATCATTGTTAAATTCCATATTAATTTTTATCTAATTCTTTGGTCCACACCACACACAAAGCTTGTGAATCCTGCAAAGCCATGCGTTGATTTTCCTATAATAAAACATTATAAAACCATTAGATCTCAAAAGAAACGAACACTTGCAGGAGATTTTTTTGATCCTCCAACAAAGCATTTCAGTAAAAAGATTCAAATCTACAAGATGCTCTATTTTTACCTGGTGTTTAATTGTTCTATAAGCCTCTTTATTGTACAACAGGCACATTTATAATAAGTCAATAAATAAATAGCATCATTTCATTAACTTTGCAAATAGTTATAATCCCAGATAAGATACTATGAGGGTGTGAGGGAATGAAATGGGGATATTCCCTCACCCATGCATTCAGATTGTGGAGATTGCTCCAAAACCCATTAATCTTGATCATATCAGTGCTATTTTTGAGAGAGAAGAAACAGGTCAACGTTGAAACTCCCCTACTTTGATACCAGAGGTGTCTCAGAAATGTGTCTTCCACCATGGCAATTAATTATCTTCACCTGGGCTTCGTGTGACCACAGATGAAGCCATTCATCTGCCTTTAACAGCAGTGGCTTTAAAATTCAGAACTGCACTGTCATCACAACGAGCCGTACACGAGCCAGATAAAAATCAACAAAACACTCAATACTTCGGGGCTACATGCTTTCACAGCATTTTATGACTGACAGTAGAGAACATGAGTATTTAATATTAAAAACATAGAAAGAACAATATTACAGATTCATAATATTCTAAGAGTGTTTTGGTCATTTAATTCTGTTATAGACATATTTAACATGCCTATAAGAGGATTTAATTAATTCATTTATTAATGCTTAACAAAATAAGTCCTTAAACCTTAAAAGATTGCATTCTCTGAAATCTGAAAAAAAAGGATCAAAAACAACAAACATATATTAACCAAGAAGGTTACTCCTGCTAGGCCTTTGTTTGAAAGGTTAGTACACACTCTGTACCCTGAGATTAATATGAATTGTTTCAGGTTAATCATCTCTGACGCAGGAGACAAGTCATCCTAATGCTGATAATTAGCTTGCATGATGTCCAGTTTTATTATCAAACTTTTGATAATAGCTGGAGGTACCCTAAAACTAACTAAATCTTTGTGTCTGAGCTTTATTAATATAGATGAATTACGCAGACATTTAGTCAAACTCTTTTGCACACTCAGCAAGCTGCCAGTACTGCTGAGCCACGCTGATGCTGCTCACAATGGCAGTTCATCATTGCAATGCACCGTCATTTCACAGAGATCATCCGGGATTAGGATAGATGCTTTGTCTTGACTCACTGCATGATTCACACCCTTCTTTGGCAGGGATTTAGAACTCTGCCACTGTGCTCGAGAGGTGGCAGTGTCCTGACACAATGAAGATATTTATTATTATCATCATTACTCAATAAAAGAAAGACCCCACCTGACTAAAATCACCGTAACAAAATAACACTGAAATATTTTAAAATGTATTCATAATGTTAGGAAACAAAAACATGCAGTATTTTCCATTCTTAGTATGACATCCATTTTCACAAATATGTTGTTATGTAACCCCAATATGTACATCAGCTGCTGTCAAATCCAGGTCTCATCCGCTGATGGCTCAGCTCACGGCCCATCTGGGTATCCTTTCGCCAGGTCTTGTACAGGGAGCGCTATTTAAGCAATTTTAGCCTTCCTAGAGTTTCTGCAGGTGATGCAAGGCGCTCTATAGCCCACCTTCATCTCACCTCATCACTGTTATACTGTTTCTAAATTAGATTTAATTTAAATTAAATTAGTTGATCATTGTCCTCTTCACCTTAAGCTTTCTGTGCGGATGGGAAGGTGAGAAAGAGCCCAAAAACCAAAGGTATAACTTTTAACTGGTCCTGATTGAAATATGGGACTCTAATTAGTGTGCCAGATCAGATTGTTAAAGGGGGAAATGATGTTTCCCCTACAGTATATAGCGAGAAGCTATTAGATTGTTTTGGATCAAAACAATGGCAGCTAGAGATCAATCAGAATCTGACAACACTGATAAGGGTAACTTAATTTCACTCTTCAGATGGCATTAAATTCTTACTTTTGCTGATTAATTGTAATTAATGATGGCATTCCTTTTAAATCATCTTCCCTGTGTTCCTTTAAAGATAACAGTAAACTGTAAACAAACGTATTCGTTATTTGGTTTCAGATCGACAGCGTTCAGAGTCTTCTGCAGTGCCCCGGCGTTCTTGTCTGTGTCGGCCGGGAGCCTTCTCACCCATCGATTGTGGAGAACTTTCGGAAAACATCCGACGATAAACTTCCAAAGCTGAGTGTGAGGTCACGCTCCGGTGGCTGCACTGACGGACATGAGAGTAGGAAAAACTCTTAAAGTGATAATTACATTCTTACAAGTAGTAACTACAAAGTAGAAGTACTGAAAGATATGCTATGGATGGTTCTCTAGCATCTAAATTAAATGACTTTTGTTAACGTACACCTTTAACAAAAGGCCTAATTTGAAATATTTGTCTTTTTTCTTTAACTGCTGCATGAAAAATCAAGGACTCCCTTCAAAGAAAAGTGTCATCCATCCAAACCTGGAATCTGGAAACAAAGTTATCAGGCAGTCAGTGTCATCTGACAAGTCAGGCCCAGATGGAACTGATTCACCAGACAATGTCAACTCTTGCCCACCCACTGGTGATGGGGTGAGGGAAGATGATATAGAGAAATGTGTTCGTGTTAATAAAGATGGCAGTTTATCAATGGAGATGAAAGTGCGCTTTAGACTGCAAAATGATGAAACAGTGCACTGGTCCACGGAAGTAAGAAAGACCACAGGCAGGACCTGTGACTACCACCAAGGAAACAATAACCCACACTTTCCGAGCTATCTTGAATCTGAAAACATCTCTGCTGTTCAGCCAGATGACCATTTCATGAGTCAGCACTATCAGAGACATCAAGAAGAACCTCATTGTCCTCACTGCTGCAGTCACTGCCAGGATTATGAAATCTGGAAAAATGTACCAGGAACACATGGGGCGAGTCGCCGCATTCAAACATCTAGCTCAAGTGCATCTTCACATACAGTGGTCTCTAGAAAGACAGTAGTATCTAGATCAAGCGAAGAGCTTACTGAACAAGTGGTGGAGACAGAGACTTGTGTGAAGCAGACTATTGAGGCAGCTGAAACTGTAGAGTATTGCACCATCGGGAGTGAGGCTTGCTCACCAAAGTGCAACGTGCAATCTTCCACTTTGTATAACTGTCTAAATGAGAAATCAGAACAAACAAGATCCATTACTAGGCAAAATCAACCCCAGAGTCCTCAAGATACAACATCCAATGCTTCAGGACAATCTAGCAAGTCAAAAAAATCTAAATCCTCACACGCTTGTCATTGTGGAGTATCTGAAGAAAATACAAAAGGACAAATCTACACCCGAGCTGAAGAGGAAGGCAAAATACAAAGAGATTGTTCAAGTGCCATGTCTTTAAAATCTAATGTCTCTTGCAGATCAACTGTGTCTGGCAAAATAAAGAACCCAGAGACAAAGGATGAAGAGGAGAACAGGTCTAAAAGTGCCATGTCAGTTCATTCAAATGCCTCGACAAAATCCAAATCGGATGTTTTGGATGTTGCAGTTGGAGGATCTCAAGCATGTGATGACAATGGAACACACAAAAGACCACTGAGCAGCATGTCTGTTAAATCCTCCAAATCTGAAAAATCTGTGAAGTCTGAGCATCAACAACATAAATCAGAGGAAGATGTTGAAGAAGAAAAACCAATAAGTCCCATCTCAGCAAAGTCAGAGATGTCTATTAAATCCAGAGGATCGAGGGCATCTTCTTTTCCAGGTGAAAAAGAAACAAAGGAGGAAACTCAGCCGAGGACACCTAGTGTCACATCAGCTGCTTCAGATTCTTCTGTAGAGTCACCTGAGGCATCTGCAGAAAAAAGCATTCAAAAGCCAGCTGAGAATGAAACTGAACTGAGAACACAAAGCACCATGTCTGGGAATTCAAACACTTCAGCAAAATCTACAGAGTCAAGCGCATCTGAAGATCCACATACAGGAAGTGCAGAGGAAAGATCTGAAAGAACAGTAAGTGTAATGTCAGCTAGGTCTGTCAAGTCAAATGAATCTGCAACATCTAGAAAGTTAAACGTTGAGACAGAAGAGACAAGGGAGGCAACTGATGCCATGTCAGCTAACTCTAATTCATCAGCAAGATCTAAAGGATCCAAGAGGCCCGATCCTCCTGATGCAACTGAATGTGTTGGTTCATCAGATGACATAAATACTGAAGAGCAAAGCGGAGAGAGACCACAAAGCATACTGTCAGTCAAATCAGCAAAGTCTGTAAAGTCCAGTGTTTCTGCAAAATCCAGCAGATCCAAACACGGAGAACAGGGAGAGAAGAGGGGACCAAGTTCTTTGTCAGTAAAATCAGTTCAGTCCAATGTGTCAGGAAAATCAAAAGGGTCAAACACTTCAGCCAAATCTAATATGTCCGTGCCCACCGATATTGAAGCTGAAGAGCAGGCTGCAGTTAATGATGAATATGAAGAAAGACCTCAAAGCAATACATCAACCACATCTGCTAAATCTTTAAAATCAAATGCTTCTGCAGTTACTCCTGAAAGCTGTGGTGATGCTTCTGAAGAAACTAATATTGAAGGTGAGACTGAAGGAGAATCAGTGAGCTCATTGTCAATTACATCAGATATTTCTGCAACATCGTTTAAATCAAAAGACGAAGGCACTGAGATGCTTCAAGAAGTAAATGATGAAGAGGAAACTGAACAAAGACCACCAAGCTGCTTATCAGCTAAATCACTTCAGTCACATGTTTCTGAAATATCTGCAGAGCGAGTACCAAGTGCTTTGTCAGCTAAATCAGCAAAGTCACGTGCTTCTAACACATCTAATAAACCAAAACCCTGTGAAGTTTGTGCTTGCCAAGCCAATGAAAGATATGGCGAAGAGGAAACTCAGGAAAGAGCACAGAGTGAAGTATCAAACAGATCTGGAAAGTCAACTAATTCTGCAAAATCTCCCAAGTCAAAAGATCACGAAGAGGAAAATATATCTCTTCATATGGAAAATGAAGAGAGAGCTCCAAGCAATCTGTCAGTCAGATCAGGAAAATCAAGAAAGTCAAATGCTTCTGCAACATCTAAAAGATCAAAGGTTTCTGAAATTTGCTTGGAAGACTTTGCTGACCATCCCGAGGAAAGAATCGTTGAAGGTGAGAGTGAAGTGAGAGCAGTGAGTGCTATGTCTTCCAAGTCAGCTAAGTCAGATATTTCTGCCAGATCAAACAGAACAAATCATTCTGTTAATGCTCCAGGTAGCGAAAACTCAGAGAACTCTAATGAAGAAAATGACAAAGAGCAAACAGACCAAAGAGCACAAAGTAGCCTATCAGCCAAATCAGGTCAGTCACATATTTCCGACAGATCTAAAAGGTCTGCAGATAGATCACCCAGTGCTTTGTCATCTAAATCAGCAAAGTCACATACTTCAAACAAATCTGTGAAATCAAATATTTCTGAAGTTCTGTGTAGTGATACTGATAAAATAGATGGTGAAGATCAAACTCAAGAGAGACCACAGAGTACAATTTCATCCAGAACTGAAAAATCAACAGTTTCTGCAAAATCTAGTAGATCAACGATATTGGAAGATAATATAGTTAGGGAACACACAGAGAGAGCTCCAAGCAATCTGTCGGTCAGATCAGAAAGATCAGCAAAGTCGAATGTTTCTTCAGCATCAAAGAGATCAAATGTTTCTGTAGCTGTCTTAGAAGACAATGTTGACCCTTCTGACGAAAGAATTATTGAAGGGGAGAGTGAAGATGGCACAATGAGATCAGCATCTGCGCAGTCAGATATTTCTGCCAGATCAAATAGGTCAAACCAGTCTGCTGATGCATCAACTAAAGAAAAGTCAGAGAGTGCTGATGAAGAAAATAACAAAGAGCAAACGGAACAAAGAGCACAAAGCAGCTTATCAGCCAAATCAGTTAAGTCACATGTTTCTGATAGATCTAAAAAGTCTGCAGATAGATCACCCAGTGCTTTATCAGCTAAATCAGCAAGGTCACATACTTCAAACAAATCTGTGAAATCAAATATTTCTGAAGTTCTGTGTAGTGGTACTGATGAAATAAATGGCAAAGATCAAACTCAAGAGAGATCACAGAGCGCAATTTCATCCAGAACTGAAAAATCAACAGTTTCTGGAAAATCTAGTAGATCAACAAGAATGGAAGAAAATAAAGTTGATCATGAGGAACCCACAGAGAGAGCTCCAAGCAATCTGTCAGTTAGATCAGGAAAATCAGCAAAGTCAAATGTCTCTGCAACATCTGGAACATCAGATATATCTGAAGCTCTTTTAGGAGACTGCATTGACAATACAGAGGATGTTAAGGGTGAAACTGAAGAGAGGGCAATGAGCTCATTGTCTGTCCAGTCAAATATTTCTGCAAGATCAAATAAGTCAAAACGATCTGTTAATGCTCCAATTAAAGAGGACAGAAAGATCTATGATGAAAGGGAAGAAAGAGCACAAAGCAGCTTATCAGTCAAGTCAGTTAAGTCACATGTTTCTGAGAGATCTAAAAATTCTGCAGAGAGATCACCCAGTGTTTTGTCAGTTAAATCCACTCAATCGCATGCTTCTGTAATATCGGTCAAATCAAATGCTTCTGAAGATCAGTCTGGCACAGTTGCGCATACTGCTGATGTAGGAGACCCTAAAGATGAAACTGAGGAAAGAGCACCGAGTGCAGTGTCAACCAAAACTGAAAAGTCAGCTATTTCTGAAAAATCCTCAGTGTCAAAAGTATTTCATTGTCCAGCTGAAAACGATATCTGTGATCTGGAGGACCATGAAGATCGGTCTCCAAGCAATATGTCTGCCAGCTCAGCAAAATCAGCAAAGTCAAAGACTTCAGAAGTTTCAAAAAAATCTAAATCTTCTGCCATTCAATGTGATCGCATTGCAGAAAAGGAAAATAAAGAGGAGCACACTGAAAGCAGATCAGTGAGTTCAATGTCACTCCATTCGGCTGATTCAAATTTTTCTGAAATATCAGGTATATCAAAATGTTCAGCAGAGCCTCCAGCTGAAGAGAGAGTCGCCACACCTAAATCCCATGTATCTACTATATCTCTAAAATCTAAAGCTTCAAAAGTTGCTTCACAGCATAAATTACCAGCGCAAGGAAATGATGAGGATGAACCTCAAAACAGAGCAGAAAGTGCAATGTCAGCAAAATCCTCTATTTCTGCCAAATCCAATAAGTCAAAATTATTGGCCGCCCCAGTAGAAGAAATATCTCATGATTCTGATCATACTGAAAGACCTGTAAGCAGTAAATCACAGAGATCAGCAAAATCCACCAAGTCAAATGTTTCTGTGAAATCTAAGAAATCAAAAGCTACTACTATCCCTTCTGAACACAGCACTGAGATTGCTGATGCAGAGTCTGAGGGAAGAGCGAGCTCATTGTCAACACATACGATACGGTCAAATATTTCTTCAAAATCCAAAAAGTCAAAATGTTCTCATGTACCAAATTGTGAGACCTCCAATGAAGATAATGACAAATCACAAACTGAAGAAAGATCTCCAAGTGTAATGTCAGTCAAATCAAATATTTCCCATGTTACAGAAAGATCCAATGCCTCTGATATTACTGAAGACGTTGATGAAGTCACTGATGTGTCTGCTGAAGAGCATGTGGCAGAAGATGTAGTGAGAGCAGTTAGTGCCATTTCAGCTGGATCTGCAAAGTCGCATGCCTCAACACGATCTACGAAATCAAAAGGCACATTTCCAGGTGAAGGAAGTGCTGACGAAGAAAGCGCAACGACAACAACAAGTTGTACATCAGCTAACAAAGAAAATGTAGAGCGAGCACAAAGTTCTATGTCAGCAAAGTCAAGTGGTTCAAGGAGATCTGCAAAAGGATCTCGAGCTTTTGCTGGAAATTCTGCTGAGGAACATGCTGAAGAAGAAACTGAGGAGAGGTCACCAAGCAGCGTGTCGGCCAAATTAAACAATTCAAATGTTTCTGTGTCATCAAGGAGCTCGACAACTTGTGAAATATCTTCAGAATACAACAATGCCAATGATTTGGAGACTGTACAGAGATCTCTAAGCTCCTTGTCAGCAAAATCAGCCCGATCCACCAAATCACTGCAATCCAACATTTCTTCAAAAACTGCTAAGTCAAAACCCTCTGTAGGCAAAGAAAATCATGAAGCCAATGTGGAGAAAGAAACAACTGGTCCCTCCATTATATCTACTGAAAATTGTTTAAATGACACTGATGAAAATACAGCAGAAGACTCAGAGAACAGAGCAATGACCTCAATGTCTACCGAGTCAAATGCAACATCAGTATCTGCAAAAACAAGAACTTCTCAAAAATCAGGGAAATCAAAAGTGCTGGAGCAGGTAGCTGATAAGGCAGATCCAGCACAGAGGAGTCCAAGTGTTTTATCAGTGAAGTCAAACACCTCAGGAAGAACAAAAAAATCAAATATATCTGGAACAACCACCACTGAAACGGTTGGACATGAAGAAGAAGCTGATGACAGTGCCATGTCAACCAAATCAGTTAGTTCATCAAAGTCAAATAAATTACAAGGTCCAGAAATCACCACTACAAACAGTTCTGGCCATCCTAAGGAAGAGAATACTGAAGAGATATCTGAGAAAGCACAGAGTGCTGTGTCAGCAAAATCAAAAAGGTCAGTAAAATCAACAAAATCTGACATTTTAAGCAAATCAGATGTACCCATCGTGACCGTTGGGGAAAATGAAACCAGAGCACCTACAGCCATGTCAACGAAGTCCAAGGCTTCATCATCTTCAAAAAAGTCCAAAACATCTGAGATCAGTGGAAAGAAAAGTGCCACAACTACAGATGTCTCTTCTGAGCGGACCAGTGTTTCTCCACTAAATTTAGAAGTAATGAAGCCAAAGGAAAAGAGCCGATCTACTGCCAAATCAAACTCTGGAAGACATTCAGCAATGTCAGAAACAAGTCAGAGAGCAAAGCAGCAGAAAGAAAATGAACATGTCATATCTCACACAGAGTCAAATGAAAGTAACTTGTCACAAACTCTGTCTAGTTCAGATATCATCAAAGAGATGTGTGAGTCTCCAGCACACAGTCAATCAAAACGTAATGTTCCTCACAGGATAAATGGTGACCTGGATACTAAGGAAAGTGGTGGAAGTGTCACTGACAAGAAAACTGACAGAAGCAGCAAATATCTGCATAAGAGCACCGAAGTTGATGATTTTGACCTGGTCCCATCCAGCCTACCCAACGCATCCCCTACTGAGGTTGTAAACGAATGGCTGAAATCACTGCCAGCAGAGGGTGAATTAGAGGACGTAGAGGAATTTAATGAAAACTGCGATGGACCAAAAACTGTCCCCACAACAGAAGAAATTAACACAGCGGATACTGTTAACAATCCAACTGAGAATTCAAAAGGCCCAGTAGAAGGGGAGGCAAAGAAATGTCTTCCTAATAATGACTGCGAAACAAGCAAAGAAACACCAAAGGAAGATAACACCTCTACTGATGCAGACAATGCCTCAACAGTATTTAACTCTTCCATACAAGTGATGAAAGTCCTTTTAAATCCGAAGCTAGACAGATGCAACAGTTTACCAGAAATTTCTCCAGCTTATGGACGTAAACTGAGCTCCTCAGCTAGAGGTTTTTTGGATTGCCTTGTGAAGCTGCAGCTAATAGACCATGATCCAAAAAATGCCAATGAAAAAAATGAAAGGTATCAAGAACTCATGGGTATTCTTCAGTCCCTTTGGCTTTGTGATCCTCCTGAAAATGAACATGCATTACGGAAAGATGATCACCATTTTGCAGATGATGATTTCAATCATACGTCATCGTCTGGCGTGGATGTCAACAGTGGCTCCACAGGCTCAGGGAACAGCAGTGATGGTGTAAAGAGTGGCAATGACGTGAATGGTGATGTTTCTAAGCCTCACGCCACTGTGGATATGTTTAAGAAGGTACAACAAGTGTGTGAAGTTGAAACAGATGCAGATGTTCAGAGCACATCAGTAAGAAAGGCAGAAGGAATGTGTGAAGATGAGCAAAAGGAAGATTATCCAGCAAGCAGTGATAGTCCAAGAGAACAATCCGAAACACCACATTCCTCAAACGAGAGTGCAAGAAATTTCAGCGAGGGCCAAAAACTTCCCGAAGCTGAAACCGATTCTTCAGAGAACAGCAACTCTGAGAGCCTTATCCTCATAGAAAGAGAAGAGCTAGCTAAAATGATTTCACAAGATGATCCTGCTTGGGTCTTAACATTATTAAATAAAATTGAAAAACAGTTCATGACTCATTATATCAAAGCGATGAATGAGTTCAAAGCTCGATGGAACCTGGGAGATAGTGAGCAGCTTGACAGTACGATTAATGAACTTAGAGCTGAGGTTCACAAAAGAATCCAAGCAAGTATTGACAGAGAACTGTGGAAGATTCAAGGCCAAAAAGGCCAACCGAGACCTCCAAGAGAGACAAAATCCCGTGTTTCAACGACACAAGCAGAAGAGAGAAGACGGAAACTGAAGGTCAACCTCAAACCATCGACTGATTCACATGCAGAAAAAAGTGACGATTCAGCAACAGGAACGTCTTATAGTGACCAGCGCAGTGAAAACGGCGATGAATGCTGTCAATGCGAATCGTGCATTAAGAAAAAAATGACGTGTAGGACACCTCTTCAGGGAGATTCGATGACACCTGTACCTGCTGCCACGGTAATCAAGTGTGCATCTCACCCTGGAAATATTCATGAAACTCAAGCGGCAGAAACCCTTGTGGAAAAAGTTATTGTTAAAGCTTTAAGGGAAGTGCGAGAAGTACATCCAGGCCCTGAAGATATCTCTGAATTTGCAGCAGATGAAAAGGAAGCAGATGATATGAGTCAAGATGCAGTTTGTGATGAGGTTTCTGAAAAGAATGACGCAAAAGAACATGTTGCCAAAGAAATGCCTGAAAAAACTGTTGCTGAAGAAAATAAGGAGGAGAATGATGCCAATGACATAGGTGATGAACTGCGAAAACAAAAAGATGATAAAACAAGCGAAGATAAGACTCAGAAAGAAATGTCAGTGGAAGAGTCGTTTTTGGCATCAACAGCTAAACAGGAATATGACAAAGGAGGAGCAAAGAATAAATGTTTGATAGCAAAGAACATAATACTGCCATCAATGCAGCTGATCATGCAGAAGATGAGGACTAATGAAAAGGATGCCACAGCTGATGAATTGTTACATGAACCAAAAGAATCAGGAAAAATTGTGCAAATTGTATCCACAAATGGAGAAGAATTTGCTGAAGCTATCAGGTCAAATGATGAACTCCCAAAACAAGAAGATGCTGTATATTATAATAAGAGTGCTCTAATAAAACATATTGTGGTTACGAGTGAAGATGACCCCAAGGAAGACACAGTAGAGACTTCAACAGAAGAGACTACTCTGACATCTGATGCTAAACATGAACCTGAGGAAGAAGCAGCAAAAAAGGAATGGTTAACCGTAAAGAATACATTGCTGCCATCAATGCAGATGATCATGCAAATGAGAATTCGGAAAGACCAGCTGATGAAAGCAGATGGAAGTGATGCAACAGCTGATGAACCGCTAAATGGACCAACAGAAGAAGATGAAAGTGAAGACACTGAAGCCTCAAGTGAAGATAAGTCTAAGGAAGATGTTGCTGAAGGTACCATGGTTCAAGGTGAAGACACACACATTGCAGGAACAACAGCTGAACAAAATCCGATGCCAGAAGAAAGTAAATCAGGGAGGTTTAAGGTAAAGAAGAGAGTGCATATGATGCAGGAGGAAGCAGTGAATGAAGACTTAGCTATAGTTGATGAATTTTTAAAAGAAGAAGAAGAAGCATGGTGTAAAGGTAAACTTACTGCAGAAAATGAGACTGCCAGTTTGAGTGAAGATGAGTCAGATGAGGAGTCTGCTGAAGATACTACTACTGAAGATGAAAATACAGCAGTAGAAGCCACCACAGAAGGAAAAGATGAAGTCTGGGAAGAAAAAATGCTCCCTGAAGAAGAGAAAATGTCTACCGTTAGTGAAGATGAGTCTGCAGATGAAAGCACTGACACAGCTACAGGTGACGAATCTACAGAAGAACCACGTGACCCGGCAACAACTGAGGATGAGACAGCTGCAGAAAAAGAGACTGGTCTCGCAGGAAAAGCAGAATCAAAGCATGAAAATGCTGAAGATGAGATTGAAAACAAAGATACTGCTATGGTATCCTCAACTGATCATGAATCAGAGAGTGAGGAAGCTGTGGAATCACTGAAGGTTGATGATGGAGAAGAGACTGATGCTACCAGCGAAGATGACTCTGACGAAGATTTAAATGCCACCACAAATGAAGAAGAAGAGGAAAATGATGTCACAAGTAACGATCTGTCAAATGAACCATCTGAAATAGCAACAACTGAAGATGAGTTTCTTGTAGAAAGAGAGACAGCCGCTACAAGTGAGCATGAACTTACGGAAGGCACTTACGAAGCATCCACAGCGGAAGATGAAAATGTAGCTGTCGAGAGCAGCATGGTGGCCACAAGTGAGCGTGAATCTGAGGAAGACGAGGTTGTGGAAAAAGGAACAGTCACTGATGAAGAGAAGATCCCTGCTATCAGTGCAGAGGAGTCTGAGGGTGAAAACAATCACACGAACAAATTGTCAGAAGAACCAGATCGAGCAGCATCAGCTGAAGACAAGACAGCTGTAAGTGAAGAGATTTCTTCAGCAGGAAAAGGTGACTCAAAGGATGAAACTGTAGTGGAAGAAACTGACAATGAGGAAGCTGTTAAAGCAGAAGATGCTGACAATAGAGAAGAGATTGGTGCTGTCACTGAAAATGATTCAGGAGAGGACCTAGATGCCACCACAAATGAAGATGAGACAACAGAGGAGGATGACACCACAGAACCAGCTGAAGAAACAACCGAAGATGAGCGGGTGATCGAAACAGAGATTGCTGTTTCAACCGAGAATGAACCTAACAGAGGCGCTGCTGCTGAAGAAAACGTGGAAGGAACCACAAGTGACAATGAAGCTGAAGATTATGGTGCAGCAGAAGAGGCTGCAACAACTGAACATGACTCAGACACAGCAGTGGCGGTGGACACCGCCAGCGCAAGTGAATCTGAGTCAGAAGATGAGGTTTCTGAAGCAAAAGAGAGTGCTGTCACAAGTGAAGATGAGCTGAAGAAAGCTGCTGTTGAGGTCGCTCAGGAAGAGGCAGCAGAAGATGTGACAGATGCCGAGCACGAATTTAACAAAGACACCAGTTCAGATGAGTCGGACGTGAAGGGAATGAATGAAAAACTAAGTGAGGGTGAGATTGCTGAGCAAAAGGAAATTGCTGCCACAAGCGAAAATGAAATGGCAGAGGAAGCAGATGAAACCAGTGATGAGTCAGACAAGACAGAGTCGTCTGAAAAAATCGGAGAAAGCAGTGCTAATGAAGAATGTAAAGAAGAAGAAAATAATGAAGATAACAGTAAGAAGCTAGTAGAAGGTGAAACAACTGGAGATGAATCGGAAGAACCTGGAAAGGAAGAGGTGGAATCTGGTGAAAATGAATTGACTTGTGAAGATTGCACAGAGGCTTTAACAACAGAGGGCGAGACTGAAAAGCATGAAACCACAGAGGAAGACTCAGGACAGCCTGAAGCAGGAGAAAATGAGACTGATGAAAGTGACAGCAGGGAAGAATCTGGAGCAGAAGGTACATCTGCAGGAGAGGAGGCTGAAGAAACTCAAACGGGAAAGGTGGAATCTACAGACGATACAGAAGATGAATCCGAGCAAGATGAAGGACAGAATGCTGTCAGTGAATCAGAGGATAATTCCAACAAACCAGAGAGTGGATGCCCAGAAAGTGATGTCACTTGTCAAGAAGATACTAATGATGTAGTGGAGCTTAAACCAGAAGAGGATGAGGAGATGGAGGAAAAATCAGAAACCAAAGAAGAAATCAGAGAAAACAACCCAGAGGATGATGTTACACAATGTGAATGTATTAACATCCCAGATGGAAGTCATGATAATAATGAAGAGGATTCCAATGCTTCTGAAAAGGAGGATGAGGAAACCGAGACACCCAATGAAGACTGGAGTGAAAAACAGGGAGATTCAGCTGATGGAGAAGACGAAGCAGAGGAAGACTCAGATGAACCAGAGGAAGAAAGTGGTGACATACAGCTTCCTTTGGTTACCAGCAAGATAGACAATCAAGATGTAGCTAACATAGTACCTAAGGAAGCGCTAAAGCCACTTGATACTTTGATCAAAAAGACCGCAGAATCTGAGGACGGCACTTACGCTGACATTGAAGATTCAGAGCCTGAAATAAACAGCCAAGATGACATTAAAAGCCTTGAGACAAAGAGTGTGAAAAAGAAGTTGTTTTGAATTGACCGTGACTCTGCCAAAGCTGAAGGTGACTGATAGAGAGTGAGACATGGGAGAAAAAAACGAGGGGTATTCTTAATATTTTAGGTTAGGTCTCCTAAATGAAAAAAAGCAAAAGGATTGATGTAGATTATCCTAAATCTTAAGTAGCACTATTAGGCTCTACTTAACAAGTACTAAACATGACAAGCACACAAGATGAGATACTACAGCAAATTCTAGTATCTGCAGAACACAAACTGCTCATGCAACAATATGAAAAACTTGAATGTATATAATGCATATCTAAACTAAATCATAGAGTATTTTATTACATATCACCTGCAATTCTGAGCCTTAGACAGAACACGGCACTGTTTATGAGCTATGCTTTCCAAAACTTGGCAGTATGGTCCTGTTCCTGTGAACAACTTACAAATGTCACATATGCACACACATACTGCAATTTTTGTCAGAATTGCTGCAGTTCTTTTACATGTTTTGCTGCTTAACATTTTCTGCAGGACTGTGGGTGTTTTGAATGTATCCTATTTAACCAAATAGGTTTTGATTCTACTATAAGCATGCAAAAAAAAAAATGTAATTTTCCATAACCCCAAAACTGTTTGGGTGCTGTGTATAAAAAGTTCTTTAAAAATCAATTGAGATCTTTATTTATTTATCAGATTTTTGAAATATATAATTCTCAGGTTCAATATATTTTGTCTTTGAACCTTTTATAATCAATTATATATGGATTCTGGCTTCTACCTGTCTTATACAGCACCCACACTCTTTTGGAAAGAAAGCTTGTAAAATAAGTTTTCTCAGCAACCTGGAAAAAACGAATTATATCTATTTATGTGTTTGGTGTACTGCTGTGTTTGTAATATACTCTTGTACTCTAGTGTTGCATATACAAAGCAAAACTTGAAGATGATCGCCATCAGTGTAAGCAGATGGTAATGAAAGCCAGAGCTGGGTTTTATGTATCACAACATCCTGCCCTTATGTATTTTAGATGATTCAGCTGTAATTACATGAAGAATCTATGTGATTTTCTGTGGTACAGGGAATTACCTTTGCTCAGTGTACTGCACATATTGATATTAAACATACTTGAAAGTAATTTTATTGTTCTTTTATAAGCTGAGATTTCACACAACAAACTAAGGCTTCCAAATAAAATGTTTAACTTAAAAAAAAATCTCCACTACATAATAAGCACACTACCTATAATAGATCGCAACTACTTTCAGTTACTCCCTTACCACAAGGGGTCACCACAGTATGTGGGGCTGCATGTTTAATTTGTTTTATGGTGGATGTCGCTCCTGACACATTCCAAAGGGAATTTGTATCTGGCTGGAATGGAACCAGGAAATTTTCACTTGCCAAGTGATTGTGTTAATCACTACACTATGGAACTACCTATGATAGATTAAAAAATTTTTTTT